CCTGTGGTGGGCCCAGCTGGTAATTTATACGGGCATTGTCAGCTTTTACAAATAAAAACTTTAATTCTTTACTCAAAGGTTTTATTCTAATTTGTACATGGTTCTCGTGTTTTCTCTACTTAGTGAAAAAAGTACTAACTTCTGATGTCAGAAACATTTGAAATGGGCAGAAGAAGCCAACGCACAGTTCCATTTCCTTGGTGTGGCTTCGGGGACTCGCCCCTCCCCACTGTGAAGGCAGGCTGACCCATCCAGAGGTCAGGCAGGTGGGGTCTTCCTGGTGTTTAGAGTCTATCTCATACTTCACAGCCTCCAGCTCATCGGTTCCCACCAGCAGATTAACTTCCTGGCTTCAAAATAATCCCTTTTCATCTCTAAAGAATTAGTCATATAGAAAACAGACCAAGTTGTTCTCTGTCAATTAAGATAACAGAAGCGTTACAGAAGTGCTAGTGGCTCACACCTATAATCTTAAACTACTCAGGATGCTAAGATCTGAAGATCACTGTTTGAAGCCAGCCCCAGCAGGAAAGCCTGTGAGATTTCTGTCTCCAATTAACCACCAGAAAACTGGAAGTGGTCCTGTGGCTCAAAGTGGTAGAGCACTAGCCTTGAGCAAAAACGCTTAGGGACAGCATCTAGGCCCCAAGTTCAAGCCTCATGACCGACAAAAAAAAAAGGTAATAGAAGAAAGAATTGTCTCTAAATTGAAGGGTTAAAGTTTTGAGGCAGTGACCACTTGTTGCTTATTTCTAGCAGAGCAACACGTGGTGGTAATCCAAACACCTGGTTGGTTGTGTGCCTTTATAACCCCTGCAAATGTTTAGCTCGGGGCTCTCCTCCTAGGCTCCGCTGTGTCCAAGTGTAGGACGAGGCCCGAGCTGCAGCCCGTTTAAATAAAACCTTAAAACAGCTGTAAAGTCTGACTCTCGGTGGTCTTCTTGGTGGGGCTCCTGCGACCTAGGCACAACATAAATTACTGTAGAATTTCTGCTAGTTAGACAGAACACACAGCACTGTAGAACATGAGTTTTTGCACGATCCAGATTTCTCCCCAGTTTATCACAGTTTCGATGATAGCTTTGCTCCAGTGAAGTCTTAACCCCACCTTGTGGACCTGGGGTTCACAGGACCGGCCTTCAGTCTCCAGAAGGTCTGTGTACTCCCTGAGGTGCTGTGAAAGAATCTGCAGAATTGTTTTTCTAAGAAACAATCTGTGCTTTTGTCAAATTCTGATGAGATCACTAGAAGTCAGAAATGTTCAGAATAACCGATCTTGTCCCTCCATTTACTGTTTAGCTGTGTTAAATCTCATGCATTCCTAGACTTTTGTCATCAAACTGGACACTGGTGGCTCACACCTGGAATTCTAGCTTCTTAGGAGGAGGATGAGAACTAAGGATTGAGGTTTGGGGCAGACAAATCTGAGATTCTTATCTCCAACTAGCTAGCAAAAAGCTGGAAGTGGAGGTGTGGCTCAAATAATAGAGAACCTTAAACAGAAAAGGCTAAATAAGACTAAGATTGGGGCTGGGAAGGTGGCTCAGTGGTAGAGCGCTTGCCTTGCATGCCTGAGGCCCTGGGTTTGATTCCTCAGCACCACATAAGCAAAAAGAAAAAAGCCAGAAGTGGCACTGTGGCTCAAGTGGTAGAGCACTAGCCTTGAGCTGAAGAGCTGAGGGACAGCGCCCAGGCCCAGAGTTCAGGCCCCATGACCGGACCCCCCCCCCCCAAAAAAAAAAAAAGACTGAGGCTGATGGGCTGGGAAAGTGGCTTAGTGACAGAGTGCTTGCCTACTATTCATGAAGCCCCAAGTTTGATTCCTGAGCACCCCTATACAGAAAAAGCCAGAAGTGGCGCTGTGACTCCAGTGGTACAGTGCTAGCCTTGAACAAAAAAAAAGCTCAGGGACTGTGCCCAGGCCCTGATTTCAAGCTCCAGGACTGGCAAAAAAAAAGTGAGGCTGAGTTTAAGCCCCACTCCAGCACATACACTCAAAAAGAGAATTACACTTTCATAGACTTTTTATTCTTTCTCATTTCACTTGTTAAATGCTGAGGTAAGAAAGGCTTAGAAAGAATCAGTGTCTACAGATGACACATGTGAGGCTTGGAAAGGAAGAAAAGGATGGGTGTGAAAATGTGTTTGGTGTCTCCTAACTTTTGCTACCAGGTCCAGAACTGGCCTTTTGACTAATCCTCACTAACCCATCTACTGCCATGAACACGTGGAACTTGTAAATAATTTATAGAAATTGGCCCTGAATGGTCCTATTATAACGAAGCTTCTAGACAGCCAGTGATGTGGAGTGGGGTGTGCTCAGTAGTAATACAATCTGGGCTTCCCATGAATTAAAAAAACAATCACCAGATAGCACGCAATGCAAAGTTACTTCACCAACACCATCTGTGTTGTGCAATTGTGGAGGACTTAGAGGCTCTGAGAGGTTGTCTTGTTAATCCTTGCTGAAGACATAAAGCCAGTAAGTACTGGGGCTGGATCCCACTAGAGTAAAGGTACATCTCTTATTAACTGTGGTTAAATCCAGGATTCTCTCTGCTCTGACAAGAGTACTGTCAAGACCTGTGCTTCCAATGGTGTTTCCTGTAATGGTGACACATTTGCACTGAATCATTTCTCCCCAGCCCTGAACAGCACGGAGATGTGTGAGAGTCAGCATAGAATCCGACTGTATGGTGGATCTGTGTTAAGCCAAGTGATCTATATCAAGGTCAAACTTACCACTATGAACATATTAACCCTAGGCTGTGTTCAATGAAAAGCTGAAACTGCTTTGTTTCTGTATTTTGGCAAAGTCATCGAAAGGAATACTTCTTGGAGGTCTAGGTAGACCGTTGTTACAGGTGCGAATCGTAATTGGGTAATTTTAACCACGTGTGGTGGATAGGGAGTTCTCTCTTATAGGGAGCTCTGGAGAGCCTCTGGACCCAAGGCCCTGTTCATTGCACAGTACATGATCAACCCTGGAAGACAGGCACAAACTTTTTAATAACTTTTTTGTTGGTCCCAGTATTTGGGTTTTAACTCAGGGCATCACACTTTTGCCTAGCTTTTTCGTAGAGCAAGTAGAGCCATGCCCCCACCTCCAGCGTTTTTGCTGGTTAATTGGAGATAAGTCTTGGCTTTGTCTGCCCAGGCAGGCTTTGAGCTGCAATCCTTAGATCTCAGCCTTCTGAGTATCTAGGATGACAGGAGTGAGCCAACAGTTCCTAACTTTAATAACTTTTATGTGGCAATTTTTTGTGATTATGGAGATAGTCCTTTGCTAGAAGCCAGGATACCTAAATGAGAGGACTATCCTTTAATTTCTCTGTCTTCCTTCATGTGAAATGATCTTAAATTTTCAAAGATACACCCCTACCATTCATTCATTTATTGGTGGCAGTTACGAAGCTTCAAATCAGGGCCTAGGTGCTGTCCCTGAGCTTTTGTGTTTAAGGCTAGCATTCTATCAGTTAAGCCACAGCTCCACTTCCTGTTTTCTAGTGGTTAATTGGAGATAAGAGTCTCACACTTTCCTGCCCAGGCTGGCTTTGAACCGAGATCCTCAGATCTTAGTTTCCTGAGTAGGGTTACAGGCATGAGCCACCGGTGCCTGGCTCTATCTTAATTTTTAAATCATTCCAGAAATAAAAGAACACTGCTTACCTCAGTAGTCTGTCCTGAGATTTCACCATCCTTAGCTCCTGCTTTTTTTTTTTTCTTTTTGCTTATGTGGTGCTGAGGAATCGAACCTAGGGCCTCATGCATGCAAGGCAAGCGCTCTACCATTGAGCCACCTTCCCAGCCCTCCTGCTTTTTTCTAACTCACTGTTCCTACAGCATGCCCCGTCTCTCCGTATCAGGACCATTTTCTCCCAAGCACTGGAACAGTAGCCTTCATTCCTTTGCCTCCTGGCAAAAGTACCTGTTCTTGTCATCTGTGTGTCATCTTTGTCCCCAATCTACTTTCCCTAAGATGATAAAGTTCAAGGAAGACACCGGGAATTATTTTTACAACAAGCTTTTATTACTTTTTTTAAAACTCATATGAGAAAGACATTTAAAAAGAAAAGATCCATAAAACAAAATATATCCACACACACATGCGCGCGCGCGCACACACACACACACACACACACACACACAGCAACACAACCAAGGAAGGCACTACCAGCAGTTATGCCCACCCCTGGGAGGGAATTCTACACTTACTTCCCAGAGGCTCAGACCTCGGCCTAGGTCCTGGGTCTAACTGTGCTTTAACGTCTGCATTTTCCCATAATTTTCTTATTTCATAAACACGTTTTATTTCTCTCTTTATATATAGCTATATGCTTCTATGTATATATATATATATAGATAGATATGTACACGACTTTCTTCCAAAAAAATAAACTAGCTATCCCTGTGCGGGGAAGCCCTCAGCAGCACTGGCAGCGGGTGTGCGGAGCCATGCCTTCTTGGTTAGACATGCAGAACAAGGGCGAAGGCCAGCAGCTCCCTGCCACACACAGCAGCGGGGACACAGAGGGGCGTCCTTCAGGGAGGGAAGTGCTAAGGCTGAGAAAGAGATGGCAGGTAAGCAGGGGGCTGTGGCTTGTACGATCCTTTAGAGTTGCTAGCTTGGGTTGCTTTTGTAGCTCTGAAGACAGCACAGTTTGGGTGATGAGGGATCAGCATTCCTCTGGGATCAGGAGGAGCAGAGGGGACTCAGCCTGGGAGAGGGAGGGAACTTCTAAAGCTACATGAAGAAGCTTGGGCTCCAGGTCCCCAGGGTGGCCCTGGGAAGGTAAAGGACAGCAAAGCAATGGTCTCTGGGGGCTGGATTGGAACACCCGGCCCTGCTTTGAAAATGACAAGTCCTTCTCTGTCCAAATTGGAGTGTCTTTGCAGTCCTGGCTACTTGCTGGAATTGTCTGGCTAAGTTAAGTTCGAATCTTATGTCCAGAGTCAGGAGTCGGGTCCTTCCTGTGCATGGGTGTCTGATAATACTTCTGGGAAGTTCTAGCCCGGGAACCTAGATGGGAAGAAGTGGAGTGAGGGCTCCCCTGGCCTGGTCTCCCAGACAGCCACTGGCCACTTCCTGGCAAGAATAAGCCAGTTAGCAGAACTTCAAGCACCCAAACCCTGCTCTGTCTCTTCTTTCTCTGTGTAAACAAAAAGGCACTGAGGTCAATGTGGAGGCCGGGGCGGGTAGGCCTCACTCAACAGAAAGGGCTCCAAGCTGGCCAAGTTGGAGGATCCTCTGTAATGAAGGCCACTCCTTGGGCAGCACCTGAAGATCTCAGCATCCTTGTGGGAGAAGAAAGGCAGTGCCGGAGGTCACGGGGAGACCAGGGCAGCGCAGGCCTCCACTCTCTAACTGAGGACAGCCTGGACAGGTTTCCCTGTGGTGCTGTTTTGGCTGCTTCTTAACTGCCTGACTTCCTGGTTCCACCGGAGACTTTTAATGGTGAATGGCTGATTTCCCTTTGGTGGGAACACATGAGGATGATGGCTATAGAATTTAGATTTGTAACTTAAACACGAGCTGCTATTGGCAATGCTGTGACTCAGTACCGCACATGCGCAGGTGAATGCCTTTGGATTTGCATATGCACAGTCTCTCCGGCATCAGGGCCTGGGCCGGGGCCAGAGCAGCCTGTGGCTTCTCTGGAAACCTCTGAGCCAACCTTACCTTTGGTCCCCCCACCTGACCCCCCTGAGCATCCCAGACCAGTGACTGGACCCATTTCCCTTAAGTGTGACTTGTTGGCACTGCAGGGAAGGGGACAGCTCTTTTACAAGCCTCATCCTACTTTCAGAGGCTCAGCTCAGATGTTACTAAAGAGATATGCTACGATGTCTGACTCATAAATAAAAGTACTGGTGGTGGCAAATAAAGAGAAACTGAAGAATCAAAGCCAGAGGAAGAACACAGAGTTCCGAACCCTTTTTTCCTTTCCTTTTGTTGTTCACCGACTGGTGTGCTAAGATTCCAGTTTGGTGACCAGAGAGGCCACTATTTGGTTTGTCGAAGGCTTGCAGATGGAGAGGAGATGATGGACACTGTGTATTTCACACAAGTACTGATCACTGGCAGAGGGGCATTGAGGGGTGGGTAAGGATCAGCCCCTACACAAACACTTGTCCACGGAAGCAACTTCGTGCCACATCTGGAACTGCTGGGCAGGCACAAATGTACCCACCAGAGGTGTCCTGAGAAAAGTGTCTGTTGCAAAATAATAATTAATAATAAAAATAAATCTGGGAGCGGGGGTACAGGGAGGAGAGGAAGCAAGACTGGTTACCCAGGTTTGCCCTGGGATTCTCTTAAGGCCTCCTCCAGTTTCTGTCTGAACTTGTCATACTTCTTCTGTACTTGCTGGATTTTGTCCTGCTCCTCCTTTTCCAAGATTGTTAGGAAGTTCTGGAGCTCAGGGATGGAGAAGGCATCCCACTGTGAGGGGTGAGGGAGATTGAGGAGGAAAGACAGGAAGAAATGGGTTAGAGCCCTGCCGCCATCTTCACGCAGCTCACATGAGTGGTTCATACATGCTCTGCCACTGCCTAGTGCGTGCCAAGGATGGAGCTTGGGTGGACCAAGTCTCAGGATGCTGATGTTGGGGCCTGGTCACCTCTTAACAGCTATGTGACTTTGAACACTTAAACTACCCTCTGGGCCTACTTCCTCCGGTGGGCTGAGGGGGCCTCTGTCTGTGCTGTCAGAGCAGAGGCGGCAGGGCACACTATGGTGGGCCTCCGTTCTGGCTTGTACAGAAGGGACCAGGCTCCTCAGGGCAGAAAACAAGTCTGACATCTCTCAGCCTGACCCAGGAGCAAAGGTCCCAATGGGGCCAAGGAATGAGACTCCTGAGCACTGTCTGGGTATGAAGTTCATCTGGTCTAATCAACACTCTACCTAGATGAGAGACTTGGGGTCCGCAGGGGAAGGTGGCCAACCCTAAGTTAAGGAGCTGGTGGCAGCAGAATGCAAACTAGGACTAAACTCAGGTCTCTGAACTCCTAGGCCCATGATCTTCCCATAGGGCCAGCAGTGTTCACACCCATCCGGTAGAATCCAATTTCCAAACAAGCTCTTCCATAGCTTGAAGAGACTGGGCTGATGGGAGCCTCGCTGCCCTAGCACTGGGGACAGAGCCGGCCCTACGTCTCCTCTAAATCTCCACCACCAAGCACCAAGGCCCCTCCATTAAACCGAGACCCCCAGCCTCCTCCATCTGTCACTCCTCAAAGGCTTCACCCTCCAAGGCTCTAGGGGGCACCAATCTGGTTTCACCTCATTTGTGTCATAAGACCAGATACTAGTTAGCTTCAATGGGGGAAGGAAATTGGTGTTCTAAGAACAGGAAAGACAAATGTCATTACCTAGTGAAACTCAGAGGTGGAGCTTGCTAAGCAAAAAGAGCTTGCGCCTGAACACAGGGAGTTTCTGGTCCTCTCTACCTTTAGTGTTCAGAACCAGCACACAAACTCTTTTCTTCCCATAGGCTTTGCCAGGCACAGGCTGTGACTTGTTCCCCCTGGGGGCTGACAATCCTGGCTTACATGCCAAGCCTCTGGCCCAACACGCTGCCCAGCCCAGCTCTCCAGCAGTGCTTTTGCTGCTGCTGCCGCCGCTGCCTCATGGCCCCTGCCTACAGTAGGCAGTTCGGATGCCCACTTGTGCCCACCCAGTGACCCCTGAGGGCTGGTCTTGTGCAAAGCCTGCAGACCTACCTCAACCTCTCCAGTTTCATTCTCCTTTAGCACAAAACTGAGGACATCAGTGTCGGGCCCGGCAAGCAGGCGCAGGTAGAGGGGGCAGTCGGCAATGGAGAGCTTCTGGAAGAGTACTGCAAACCAAGAAAAGGGGCTGGGCACTCATCTCAGAAGAGAAGGAAGAGGAGGAGGAGGAGGCATCGGTGACAGATGGGGCTGGAGCTGGGTGGGACAGGATTGGGAAGGTGGAGGTAGGGCTGGAAGTGGACCTACATGAACCAAGCAAGAGCAGATAGGGCAGGTGTGTCTGTAGCTAGATGGCAGAACACTTGCCTAACACGCATGAGGCCTTCGGCTCCCGCCCTAGCCCCACAGAGGAAAAAAAGAAACTGGGAGAATCTTTTATCTTGGTGTTTCCATGTACATCATTTCCCAAAAGATAAGGAGTGGTGGGCAGATGCCACTCCTCCCCAGAAGAGGAAACAGGAGCTCAGGGTGAGGTTTTCCTGTGCAGGCAGAGTTAGGGTTACAACAGAGGGCGAGAGCTGCCCAGACTACGTCCCTGGCTCTTCTGTGGCTCTGAATGACCATGTGGACAGTTGGGTTCCTGGTGCACAAAAGCCCGCTCTTCCCACCCACCCAGGGCTGGCGCGGGTTTCAGTGGAGAGTCATGGAGGGTAGTTTCTGGCTGGGAGGTCTCTCCTACCTTGACCATCCTTGTGGATCCGCTTAAAAAGTGCAAACTTCTGGGGATTGTCCACCACCATGAACTTCTTCAGCAGCCCCTGGATGACCTCGCTGACCGTCGTGGTGCTGCTGATATGCAGCTGCTTGATGGCATCCAGCGGCAGATAGAAGGATGTCCGTTTGTCTGTGGTGGCCGCCAAGTTCACTTCCTTGATGGCGTCGTAGATGGACTGGGGTCCGATGCCGGCAGGCACCGTCACTGGCCGTCGAAGTTTCAAATGCACTTTGATGAAACCTGTGTAGGTGCCATCTTCGCTCTGCAAGTGGGAGGCACTGGATGGGCTCAGACCCATCTTGCACAACTGTGTCTACCATTTCCCCAGGGGCACCCCAGCCACCCCCCCCCCCCCCATCTCCCTGAGGTCCTGTCTGCCAGCGTAGGATGCTGGAAGGAAAGGGACGCCTTCCTCTCCCCATGGACCAGAGAAAGTCCAGAGTCCATCTCCCAGGGAGGTCTAGTGGGGCTGCCACAGTTTCCTTCAGGAAACCAGGCAGATGCCAATTGCCCTTGAATTCTCACTCTTACAGGAAAGGTCTGCAGTGGCCTATTATTTTTGCATCTCCAAAACAGGGAGGCTCAAGAAAACTCTAGAATAATGTCCAGAGATCCAGCCCAAAGAGTTTGCGGCGTTTAAGATAAATTTGGGCCTATTGGTGACAAGTTTTTCTGGCACAGGATTTTCTTCACCTTTGGGTGAAGCCCCAAAATGCCAGTTGCTGCCAGTCACCAGCAGAGGGCAGGCTTCTACTATCTGCTCCTCACTGAAGATGGCCTTTCTGAACCTGTGCAGGTCTGCAGCCCACGGCCATATGTGCACCCAGCAATTTAATGGGAAGGAAGAGGCCTTTGGGCAACATCGGGGTCCTTGGTCATTGTTTGTCATTTATTCCCACCAAGATCTCTGACATCTGGGCATGAATATTCCTATTTTCACATTACAGTGCCAGAGAGGTGAAGAGTTTCCCAAAGTCAAAAGGGAAAACATGAATGGAATAGAGATGGGATCTGGATCTTATTCTAAAGCCCATTCTATTTGCCTCATGCCCACCAGGCTGGGGAACCTTCCATGACCCCTGAGGTCTCCAGAAGCCCTGAGAAGTGGGAAGGCACTGTAAGGGTGTAGCCTGGGAATGCAGAGGATCACACAGCCAGGAAGGGGCAGAGTGGGCAGAGGGGGCGGCAGCCTGCTCACCAGCTTCATGCCCAGGCAGTTCTTCTCCCGGCTATTGTAGCTGTCAATCTTCTGCTTGATCTCCTGCAGCGTGGGCGGGCGCTGAGTCTCCTCCACCGGCTGGCAGACATTCTGCACAGACACAGAAGGGGGGGGGTGGTGGTGGAGGTGAATGGTGGTTCTCAGGATTCGACAGGAATGGCCACACCTCCCAAAGACCTCTCTCACCAAGGAAGGAGCAAACTGCAAGAGTGGGAACAATGAGGCCAGCTGCCTGGGGAAAGCCCAGGTACTGGCCACAAAGCCTGGTGAATGGGGAGAACCGCATTTGCTCACAGAGGACAGTTCATTACCTACCGCTCACAAGTGCTCATTACCCCCTCTGTACAAATGAGACCAAATATGCCCAGTTCCCCAGTCAGGAAGGCAGGTTTCCAGATGCTGTGGAAGTTACAAAGAAAGACAAGCTGTGGTCTGTCTGCTTGAGGAAGCCACAGTCAAGCTCAACATACAAGTGGGTACACTTAGTGCCAGCAAAAGCCGATAGAGATGATGACAGGAAGTGGAGGTGTGGCTCACGTGACAGCCTTGAGTGAAAATGCCAAGGGAGAGTGTGAGGCTCTGAGTTCAAGCCCAGTACCTGCACACAAAAAGGAAGGAGAAGGGGAGAGGAGGGGAGAGAGGAGTCAGAAAAGGGCAGGGGAGGGAAGGAAAGGAAGAATGCTCCCAGACCCAGGGAACAAGGACATACAGGCCCCAGTTAAGGGCCCATACCACTGGCACATGTACTGTGCATGCAACAAGTGAACGTGTGAACTGGTAGAGAAGGTGACAGTTGAGACTAACGTTCTCTGCTGGGGCAGGAACAACCAGCCAATACTGAGCGCCTCCTCTGTGTCAAATACTCGGCATACGGGATCTCATTTAGACTTTGAAGGATAATCCAATAACCCCCATTTACAGGTGCTCATTACCAAGACAGAGCTTGCCTAATTCCCCTGTCAAGATGTGCAGAACTGAGCAGAAACCCAGGTCTATCCAGTTGGACTCTTCTGATGACATCGTGATTCCTTCTCCCCCTCCATTCTCCAGCTCTCCTTTCCCTAGCCCTAGAGGACAAGTTCAAGTTGGAGGTCGGTGTTGGTCACACTAGAGAAAGCAACTTTGTCCCTCAGCTAACTCTGGATGTCGCTCAGGTTCATTGTCACTCATTCCCCGCTTGGTCTTTCGGTGGCCCTGTGCGGCTGGGAATACAGGAGCTGCTTGCTCAAAACCCACTGAGAATTCACCCCCATCTCAGGAATCAGGCAGACTCAGGCACACACGGAGTCTGCTTTGGCAAATGAGGAAATGAAGCCCACAGAGGGAGGGCTCTCACACCACCTGACACCTGCCTGAGGGCCCGTGGGCCTGGCTGGGGAAGTTCCCAAGGGCCCTGACACTACATCACCACCCAAACACAACAGGGCACCCGCCACAAAGCTCATCCCCGACCTTCCCCTTCAGCCAGCCTGTCGTGGGACATGCGTCATTGTAGAATAGCACAACCCCCGCTTCCTCCACCACTTTCCAGTCCCGCAGAGGCCATAAAATGTCAGGCCCCCATGGCTGCCCAGGGGAGTGAGTGTATCCGGGGGTCTGTCCATGCCTCTGGCCTCTCATCCCTCCACACAGAGGTGAGGTGACATTCTTGTTCTGTCACATCATCTTTCCCCGCCCTGTCTGCTCCCTCTGTCCTCTTCCTCTAGGGCTCCCGACAGGACCAGTCTGTGCCAGGCTTTCCCCCATTTCTTCCCTTACATTCTCCTTAGAGTAGACTTACCTTACAGGTCACAAAACTAAAGCTCAAAGAAGAGCAGATTCATCGCCGTGTTCCAATGCTAGTGCCCAGCCAAGCACGGGACGGAATGGAGCCCACCCTCTCAGTTGGTCATGTGACCATTCCTGCTGGAGGGGCTGGCCCACCCCTCCCATGACTGTGCCTGGAACTCCAAGCTGCAGAGCTGAGGTGCACAGCTGCTAAACCAAGTCCTACAAGTCAGCTCCTCTGAGCAGTGGGTCGGAATCCAGAGGCCCAAGGACGCAGGGGATCCTGTAAAAATGACATGGCGGGACCGCTAACCTCGGGAATGGGATGAGCTGTCAGGAAACTCCACCATCTTCTTTCTGGGTGCCTATTTAGGTGTCTGTAGAAGACCGCCTCAGGGAGCAGGCCTTCGACACGTGTCCTGTGTGTGTCAGGTGATTTCACCAAGTGTGTGAATCTCAGACTCTTCATTTGCTATCGATTTGTGAATCCAGGGATCCTCAAAATGAAGACCTTCATTTGACTTAGTTCCTCTCCAACCCCTGACATCCCATCAGCCACGCATATCTCCACGGACCAGACGTGCCTGCTGTGGCTCTATCCTGCCTTCCCTCTGGAAGCTTCCAGTCAGAACAACCAGCTGTCTGGTGGCTGTTATGTACTATGTTCAGCCCATCTTCAAGGCTCCCAGGCTGCCTCTGCTCAGGAGTTAAGGCGTAACTCGTACTCATCTCCAAACAACAAAAACAAAAAGAGCTAAGTGGTAGAAGGAAAGCAGCAGGCACCTCTGGAAGCGCTCTCTGTTTCCAACCGAGCTACAGTCATTTCTGTTTAGACAAGGCAGCTGTGTTGAGGCCCTTGTCGGCCACTCTTCCCTGTTTGGAATCAGCCAGTAATAGAGCTGCCTCATTCTTGAGTTTCTTTCTTCTTCCTGTTCCCCTTTTTGTCATCAGATAAACCCATCTGTTTTCTTCCTTCCCCAGAACAAACCTGGGGAAGTGACGTAAGTTGCCACGGGCATGTCCGCCTTCTAGCCAGGCACAGAGGATAACAGCCCTGACCTCACCCTGTGGAAGTCTGGGATTGCCAGGAGCTCTGTGTGTGGCTGACAGGCACGATGAACCTCACACAGGAATGTCAGCCCCCAGTGTAGGATGGCTGCTGCCCACACTGAATCTGCCAGACAAGGTCTGCCCCACAGGCTGAATGAATCACCTCCTGAAGTAGGCCAACCAGCACGCCCCCACCAAGTGCTCACTCATCTTCTTCCTGCCCAAGAGCGGTACAGAACCCAGACCAGCAGTTCTTAAACTTGCCTGTACAATGGAGTCATCTGAGGATCTCTAGAAACACGGTCATCTGGGCTTTGTCCCCAGAGATGACCAATCTAGGATGCAGCCAGGGTATAGGGATTAAAAATTCTCCCAGGTGATTGCAACGTTGCTTGCAGCATTTGAGAATTTGGAGAGACTCCCCAAGTTATTCTGTCCAGCTGGGGTGTTCATGCTGGGTGCCAATGGATGCACACTGCCTGGAAAGTTTACCTTAAAGGTAAACACTACTGTGTAAACAAGATCAACGCTGCAGTACTCTTCCAAGGGCCAAGGCAAAGACCCTGATTTCTACGCACCTGCCAGATTCTCCAGGCCTCTGAGTGAAGGATTCATCTCTCTGCCCATGGGTACTAAGCTAGAAACCAAACAGATAGCATTTTATCTCTTGGGGTTGTCCCAGATAGACAGAATGGGGAATTCTGTTATGGTTCAACAAATGCAGGCACAGGTGCATGAGGGGGTCTCTCCTGAGAGTTTACACATCTCGGTGCATCTAGCATGGAATTCATCCATCGGCTCCGATTAAGCTGCCAGCACTGGTAGCAGATGGCTGAGCTGTTCCCAATCCACCCATCTTGTCCAGGGAACTGGTGAAAAATGGCTTTATCTCACATGTCATGAGCCATGGGAAAGCTGTGTGTCCTCTCTTGGCTTTCTTGAAGTTACTGGAATACAGTCAAGTGAAAGGGTTGGGGGGGGGGGCTACTATGGTAAGAACAGAAATGGCCCTCTCCCCACCCCAAAGAGCAGTTCTTTAAGATTTCTAGTCAAATCATATTTTTATTATCTTTAGGTAGTTGTACAAAAGAGTTTCCATGCAACAAATCAGTTTATAAATACAGTGCTTTTTTTTTTTCTTTTGGTGCCATCCTGGGACTTGCTCTCAGGGTGCTGTCTTTTGAGAGTTGTTGTGCCAAGGCTAATGCTCTACCATTTGAGTCACAGCTCCACTTTTGGCTTTCTGGTGGTTTACTTAAGAGTCTCACAGACTTTCCTGCCTGAGCTGTCTTGAACCATGATCCTCAGATCTCAACCTCCTGAGTAGCTAGGATGACAGGTGTGAGCCACTAGGGGTCCAACTTAATGCATCTTGATCCATGTCGTCACAGCCAAAGGACTCAACAATAAATAAGGAGAGCCATTCCCTTGACGTCCAGGACCTGTCTCACAGCAGATTTGCCCTAAATCAAGTTTTTCTTTTTTGTTTTCTTTAAGGCAACAGCAACCAGACACTGGCTGATTCTGCATACTAATCAATGACATGTTAAGTCTTAATTTGAGCCTCTGGGGAGTGACCAAGTGCTCTGAGGATAGCTCAGAGAAAGTTCTGTGGCTTCTAATCCTTGGGTAGGAACACAGCAGCCCAAATGGGCCCCCAGAAAGAGAAGTGGGCAGAGGAGACTGTGGGCAGCACCCCCAGCACTGAACCTGCCACACACATTCATACCCACTCAGTACTGACCCAAATCACATAAACCTCACTTTGCCAGTGTCTTCTTCTGGCCTGCTTCTTTCATCATGTCACGCCTTCTGCTCATCTGAAGTCCCGTCATTGGGTAAGGCCCCCTGACCTCTCCATGCATCAGTAGAGAGGACATTGATGACCATGCAGGTAATGACAGTGAGCTATCGTCACCACGAATTCTGTGCCGTGCACTGTCCTACTCAGGCTGTATTAGTTCATCTGACCTTCGCAGCAAATGTATACAGAATGTTACTACTATTGTGTCCATTTTACAGTCTAGGAAACTGAGGCACAGTAAGGTCAGAGTCAGCTACTACTGTCACACCCAGCCCTTAAGTATGTATCTACTTACATTAACCTCACAAGCAGACCGTCAGGGATGGTTCTTCTTCCCAGCTATCCTGACCTACATTGTGCCTTTTCTATTTCTTCTATTCCCAATGTACTACATACATACACTCAGCATGAAGTAGACAATAACCAGCTATTCAAGAACCTTCAATGAAGCTGGGTGCTAGTAACTTAC